TTCGAGGTTACCTTTGAGGAGATCTACAGGAGGGACGACTGGTTGGCGCGAAAGGTCGAGAGTGATGACCAGACCGTACAACCGGCAGTTCTCCGGTGTATTAAGAGCGGTAGAGCTATGGCTGGAGTCAGAAAGAGACAGGATTTGCTCGACCCGCGCTAGAGCAGCCGAAAAAAGCTTCGGTCGAGAAGGAACTTCACCTGCATTCAAGAGCAAAATAAGAAAGATAGCTCGACGAACGGAAAAGATTCTATAAAAATCCAACAAAGCGAAGACCTACAGTATTTGCTAAAAGAATCCCCTCAAAGGTTTAGATTTGAGTGGCAGCACAAATAAAAGAATCCCCTCTAACCCAGGGAACCCTTAAAGGCATAGCAGTACAAAAATTTCCTCCACAAAATAACCATAGAGTTTATTGTCACCTAACAATTGGGTGACAATTAGGCAGGAGAAATCATATGGAGGCCACAGAGAGCCTTCATAAATAGGTGAAAGGGAACAGTTTGTCCGAAGTTAAAGGACTAAGTATATACAGTCATATGGTTGGCAAGGGAGTTATGAGCTCTATCATTAGAGGTAGGGATAATTAAGTAAAACTTATTGGCATCGATCCCTGCATCGCGAAACATCTTCATGGCAACCCGGGGTGTTATCTTTGATGGGTTGACGTCATTCAACATGCCTGAGATACCGCTCATCGACACCACCTCGTAGCCACGACCTTCAGAGGTGCCGACTTGTAGACCATCATCCGCATTGTTGAGGAGAATGAGCTCGTCAGGATGAGGGGTCGAGAACGACCCCTCGGTGTATTCCTCTACTTGGCGGAGCAAAGAATCCCCGCTGTCGATCAATGTCATGCTTGACGTCACAGCTTCCTCAAGGTCGTCCTTAACCCTGGATGCGGAGACCTCTCGACCTCTAACGTATTTTGGCGACATGTTCTGGAAATAAGTAAAAAGGAGGTCAAGTTAGGGCCTAATGGTCTAGATGTCAGAAACAGAGTGTGAGAAGAGACATAAGTATGTTCGGATCAAAATGGTCCAAGAATATAGGATTGACAATATCATATTGACATGAACCCAGAAATGAGGAAAAACTCATGCAAGGGTCCCCAAAGCCCAAAAACGAGTCTGAGGATCCCCAATGAAAGCGACTAAACCCAAGCGGGCACCACCATAGGGATTCAGCCCAGATTCATGATCAATAACATTGAGTAAGTACATTTTTGTAGTTACATTGTTCTCTTCAAAATATTATTTTATGCAGGAATTAGTTTTGGAATCGCATATGAGGAGTAAAAAGACCAAAATGACTTCCTAGTTCGTAAGACGGTATGAAAGCTTGGAGACTGAGGAGAACAATGTACGGAGAACGTGCACGAAAGTCGAAATCGTTGAAGGGAAGTTCTGGAGGAGATCCGGCAGAGTAACGACGTAGTTTGCGAATGAACGATCGTGAACTGTTCGAGGTGTATATATACTCGAAGAGTGGAAGCCCAGGGCTCTCAGGGAAATCCAAAGGACTTCATATCTTGACCATTAAATCCGAACTGACCCCATCTAATGGTGAATCTGAAGCGACGCGATCTAAAGGTTGGAAAAAGAGCAGGAGAGATGACTTTAATCCAACGGTTGCAACTTTCCTCTCGACTGCCATGTGTCACCAGGGTACGGGAGACGCGACTGTTGACACAATCAACAAGACTACTCCACTACCCGAGAAACTCGCTGTAATGATGGCACTGTACCGACAAGCAGTTGCCATAACCTGCAAGGGAAGAAATTGCCACGTAATACTTTCGACGTTGTATAGCTTGAAACATCGCAATGCAGTATTCCAGGCTGGGGGGTAATTGTTGCGCCACGGTCGAGCAATTGACCCTCCTTTGACTGCCAAGCGCCGAGACATTCTCAGTTGAGAGTTGGTCGCCGACGTCGAGAAAATGGTCGTACGTAGGATGCCCTCAAGACGACGAAAGTTCATGCAGGTGGACGATATGCGTCGAGAACTCCACCTAAGCCATGAAGTTCACAACATCGAGAGAGCAATCCGGTCAAATCTAAATTAAATCCCGTCATCTCAGGAGAATATATACTATAGCAACTGCCACGATTCGGATTAAGAAGTCAGATAATCGATAAAGGTGATTGTCCCGATTCGGTAGCGAAAATCGTGGGAGTACAACTGCTAGATCCCAAGATTTAGGGGTAAGGGGATGATCTCCTCAGGAAATGGAGATGAGATCTCTAATCTGTAAATGACCTAAAAATAGAGCATGCCTCCTCCATTAAGTTTTTTTACGCAATATTCTACTACTCAGAAAGATTGTAATCTTGAATATATTAGTGCATCCACAAGTGGACGTAGGCAAAGAATTCTTACCGAACCACTACAAACTTTTTGTGTTTTTTATTTTTTTGTAACGATAATTCTTGATTAATCTGTGAGAGACGTCTGTGAATGTTCTCACATAGTTAATTTTTAATTGACTAAATTTCACTGTCAATAATGACTAACTCTTCTCAAGGAGTCTGAGCTCTATGAGGAACACTCTCTTAAAGGAGTTAAGAGCTTTGGTAGGAGAATTCTACTCAATATCAAATCTTTTCAGAACGGGTTCTGACTCTAACATAAGGAAGTATTTATCCAGGAGGGGAGTTATCCTTTTAAGTGAGTGAGGAGGAACCTCTCGTTGAAGCGAATACTACAAGGAACCTCTCGTTGAAGCGAATACTACAAGGAACCTCTCGTTGAAGCGAATACTACAAGGAACCTCTCGTTGAGGCGAACAATGATGAGCTATCTTTGCCAGAATGAGTTCCCACTTAGATAAATTGTAGGGCTATACAGGAATGAATAGTTGTTGCCTGAATGGGTTCCGACTTCATTTCATTGTGATGTTAGACGTGTCGTCTAATCTTTTCCAAAATGAGTTTCGACTTCATCCAATTGTGATGATAGACATTTCGTCTAACCTTTGTCAGAATAAGTTCTGACTTCATTCAACTGTAGGCTAGACATTTAGTCTAACTTTTGCCAGAATATGTTCCGGCTTCATTAAATTGTGAGGTTAGACTTCTTTGTCTGCTCCTTGCCAGAATGAGTTCCAGTTTTGACGAATCAATGAGTTCTGACTTTGATAAGTTGTCAGAATGGGATTCGCTTCTATAAATGGTAGGACTAGGCAAGATGAACAGACCTCGCCAGAATGAGTTTCGGCTTCGCTAAGTCGTCGGACTAGGCAAAATTGCCAGAATGAGTTCCAGCTTTGATAAGTCATCTAAAGATTAATATTTTGATATGCATATTCGAAGCAACACTTGGAAGATAATTGAAAACCAATAAAGCCAACTTCAAACCTTAGTGCAATTTATTGTGCTAAGAGGTTTGGACTTTGTCTTTGTCTATGTCGTCATTCTTAACCTCAAGGTCAGTTTTGGTTTATTCTAAGTGAAGCTTTGAAATTAGAATACCTTATTCAATTAAGGTTTTTCCTTCAAAAAGAGATGGAAGCAAAGGGAAGGTTTTTTTTTTTTTTTTTTTTTTTTTTTTTTTTTTTTAAGGAAGCTCAGCTCGCTAATTGGGTGATAGCCCATCCCCCGAGCCCAGCTCGCTACCTAGCGAGCTGGCGGGCACCTCTTGGGAGCCCAGCTCGCTTCTGGGCAAGCTGGAAGATCCAGCTCGCTACCTAGCAAGCAGGTGGGCCCATCTAGCGAGCCCATGGTGGGCCCATCCCGCTAGCCTAGCTCGGACTTGTGCGAGGCTTCAAAAGTAAAACATCATTTGTGGTAGCCTGGATTTGATCCCTGGAGAGACAAACTTTAATTCAGCTTGCCTCACCACTGTTCCACAAAATGTCTTACTGCAAGTTTGAGTACTAATCCTTTTTGTGTTAAAACTATGACGTTTAATTTTGCCATCTCCTTTTTTTTCTTAAAAAAAAAATAAATCTTCAATAATTTCATATGTGAAGTAATCACAATAATAATTTCCGCTAACCACACTCTTATGCCCAATTCATATTGATATTAATATTAACAGTGTTAAGAATAATGATGATAACAATAGTAACAATAAATAGGAATTGTCTTTTTAAGTGTGACACCGGACCGGTTAATGTATGTTTGGTTTGAGGGTTCGAACCACTCTAATTTTAGTTCAAAGAGTGGTTCTCTCTCAAAAAAATTTAACAATAAAAAATTCTATTGCAATATTTTCTTTATAAAATCTAAATTCTAGTTCAATCCACCTGATTTGAACCTTCAAACTAAATAAGCACTGATATAGTCCAAAACATATGACATTGAGTGCTAAACAGGCATAAAAAAAAAGTTATAGAGATTAGAACTAACGATGGTACATTTACATATGAAAAAATTACATTTACCTGATTATACTACTACCAAATTTAAGAATTTCCTAAATAATAAGTAAAGCATGTAAGTATTGAATAAAAATAAGTGAATAAATTATTCACTGTCAAATTCAACTAAAGATACAGAATTTTGATATGAGTAAGCTTGCAAATGACAAAATTCAATATACACAGAGAGTTGAAAAAAATCCGTAATGAAGTTTGTTGACGGCTCACCGAGCTTTACATATCGGTGATAATGCTAAAAAAAAATGCGTGAGACACATGCTTGATTAGATGAATTGTGACCGCCAACAAAGTACAAGAAGTGATTTACAAGATTTTTATCCCCGTATTACCGTGCCAGTACGAGCAATGTGTCGTTTGGTAATCATTTAACTTGACAAAGTAAACGGATAAGGAGTACAAAACTTACTGATCAGAAACTTCATTCCAAAATTATTTATAGAAGTCATGGACCACACACAAACCATGTAGATATTTTGCGCATCAAATAATTCTCCTTTTCTACAAAAAAAAAAAAAAAAAAAAAAAAAAAACAGGGGAGGAAAAAAAAAAAAAAAACCTGAGTGATGAGCCGCCCATCAGGGGATGGTCCGGACAGCAGCAGTGTCCCATCAGGTTTTTTATAAAATACGTCACGGACCCAGCAGAAATGATAGCAATTGTCCACATTTCCGTCTCATGTCACCTTAATACTTTCGGACTAAACAAATTATATATTTGACACTACGCACAACAATTTGCCCATCAAAATTGACATATACGCAACTAAATGGCAGACACACAACTTGCTCACCAATTGCTCCGACCAAACGCCACCGTATACGGTAGTTTACGGCGATCGAGCGCTGCTGCGTTGAATATTAACCCGGCCTTCCCACCCTTCAAAGCCTTGGCTTACAGGAGCCTAAAAACCAAGTACACCAAGTTGGCCGTTAGATCGGTTAGTCTTAATGTGGACCAATATTATTGCGCGCCAAAATCATCGGCCGTCGTCGACGTGAAACGGTTGGTGGATTTCTTGTACGAGGATCTACCCCATGTCTTTGATGATCAGGGGATTGATCGGACGGCGTACGACGAACACGTGAAGTTCAGCGATCCGATCACCAAGCATGAGTCTCTTAGCGGGTATCTATTTAACATTGCCTTCTTGAAAACTCTCTTCAAGCCACAGCTCCAGTTGCACTGGGTCAAACAGGTTCGAATTTTTTAAGTAATGATCTGATGTTGACTAATGTTTTTCCTTCAAAATTCAAAAAGCATTTCGACTTACAAACATTGGATGAAAAGTGAAAACATTGTAAGGATAATAATATATAGAACATATAATTACAACATATCAATTAATAATTATCGGTTTAAAACTGGTAGTTTGATAGCAATGTGTAATATTGTTGCTCTCAAAATTATTAGTGGTAAAAATGTAAAAATTTATCCGATTTAAATTATAAAGTTGAAAGCTAAGGGCCAATTCTTTTCATATGTTTGAACCATAATAAAATTTTTTTATTGCAGTATTTTTCTCATAAAAATTTAAATTTTTGTTAAAACATTCGAAAAGAACAGGTACCAACTCAATATGATCAGTTGGAAAATTGTGACTGATTCTGTTGCTAAATTTCATATAGACAGGTCCGCATGAAATAACTGCAAGATGGACTGTGGTTATGGAGTACGTTCTTTTGCCTTGGAAACCAGAATTGGTTCTCACAGGAACCTCAATCATGGGCATAAATCCAGAGACTGGCAAGTTTTGCACTCATGTGGTGAGAACTAATTGATTTTTTTTTTTTTGAGAAATAAAAAGTATATATATGTGTGTATGTACATACATATATATATATATATTATGCCAATTCAGTGAGTATATATATTTTAGTTGATATTCAATCGTTTGATTTGTAGGACCTGTGGGATTCAGTTAGGGAGAATAACTTTTTTTCCATGGAAGCCTTTTGGTATATAATTAAACAGGTAAGTGTACATTTCACAGGATTTATTTGCTGGAAAAGAGGTTAAAATTCATGATAAAAATAATTTGATCGGAGAAGTCAATAATATCTCATTCAATTTTGGATTCTTATATATATATATATATATATATATATATATATGCAGATGTGTATTTACTGGATTTACAGAACACCAGACATTGGAACTGCCAAATATCAGATATTGAAAAGAATGCCAAATTACGAGGTCCTGGTCCCTTCTAATAATGTTATATTATCATAATGTATAGCTATATTAGTTTATTCTTTTTTTTTTTTTTTTTACTTTTTTTCCCTTTAAGTTTGACTAAATTAATGGTAATGAGGTTGTTCTATAAATTTATAATGGTGGCAAGCTATTTTATGAATTTAATAAATTAGTTTAAAAGAGAACTTCCCATGTGCATATGATTTGATGTGTTCTGATCTTTATTTGAGATTCTAATTTCTTCTTTCAAACTAGCTTGCATAACTTGTATACAAGTGTGTGTTTAAAATACTTTATTAAATTAGGAGGCAATTTATCCAAATTAAAATTTTAAAAGGTAATTCTTGTCAACATTAAACATTTAGGTACAATTAAGTAAAAACTTATTCCTCCTAGTAAAAACCAAAAATTATAAGTGACGTAGGTACTGAATAATATGCATACTATAGCTTCACGTTAGCACTGTCTTTTGATGTGATTGTAAAGTTTCAACAAGACTTTTGATAAATTATCTCCGCAGGTGAGAAAGTATAGCCCATTGGCGGCAATGGAAGGAACTGAGTGAGTATTTTTCACATTTAACTTTTAAATTCCTTTTTTGTCCCTCCTATTTTTGGAACTATTGAATAACATGGGCAATATTGGATCCTATGTGCGCAGGTACATTTTTGGAAAGAATTCCCCCAAGAAGAATAGACCAATTACTAGTACTACGTGAGCAAGTTCATTTAATCTGTTATAAATCCTATATCTAATGTTACTTACGTGGCTTAAGTTAACAACTCAGTTCCAAATAACAGTTGCTTAACTGTCATGAAAACTAAGAAAAAAAAAACTTTTAGAGAGAGAAACTAAAGATAGAATCTTATTAATCTTGTCAAGGTATATAAAATGAAGAGCCTTAGAGCTCTATATATAGGAAAAAGATTTGATACTATTCACGGTTACTATTTACACAGTTCTTACTATTTACGAAAACGGTTACTATTTGCACAATAAGATTCTAATATGAACAGTAATTTTAACTGACTTGTCTAGACATCTACTATTCATAACAGCAACTAATTAATAAAATCATATTTCTCATGGTCAGCTCATCGTTAGATCTTACTAATCAAGGTACAGTAGATATGAGAAACAAAAAAAGAGGCAGTATTGCCGCTGTATTAAGGTTCAGTGGAAAACCTACCGAGAAAATTGTGCGGGAGAAGGATAAAATTCTGCGATCGCGTCTTAGTGCCGACGGTCTCAAACCTGAGATCGGTTGTTTCCTTGCAGCTCGTCACAATGATCCACAAAGAACTTGGAGCTTTCCCGTGGTATGCTACTTCCACCTCGAATTTTCTTTTTAATTGTTATATGGACAACTTTATAAATAGTTCTCTGCATGCAGTAGCAATTAACGTAACCTCATTTGCTAATATATCTATTTGCTTTTTAAGTACTAACGATGTTTTGTCTTTGTTCTAATTGATTGGATTCAAGAGGAATGAAGTGCTAATGTGGCTCGAAGACTTCACAATGGACTAGCTAGCAGGTTCAAATGGTCTTTCCAACACTATAGCTCTTCTTGTTATTGATCATTTTCTTCTCCATGAAAGTTGTTAGCTTAGAGTTCCTTTTTTTTTTTTTTTTTTTTTTTTTTTTTTTTTGAGAGTTTGCTCTGCTCAATTGTAATCTAATTAAGGGAGTAATCCAAGCATTCCACGAAGAAAAAATTTACCAGTTTAGGAGAAGTAATTTGCTTCTAATTAATGGAAAGTTAAAAGGGAAATGGAATTAATTCTATTTTATATCTAGTACCAAAAAAAAAAGTTTATGTTTCCATGTGAGCATGATTTCTCCAAGATTTCATCGTTTAACATTTTATTATTGAATTAGAGTTATATATATGACCATGGTAATTGGATTTATTTTTTGGTTTAAAAGATAATGCCCAAATCATAAATATCTACTTATGATCTTTTTTTTTTTTTTTTTTCTAACGCTTTTGCTTGAATTATTTTGCTCCATAAGTTTCCAATCAGTGACACAAGATCTGTTTGCTTGGACCATTGAATTTGAGCAAGTGGCCAAACATGCATTGGTTGGAACTCCTAAATCCTAATATAATGAGTTAGTTTAGTTGCTTCTTGTTTCCAAATTTGACCATTCCCTTTCATGGGTATCTGGCCATCTATGGATATTTGACCATTGATTATTCAATTATTGAAGTACAAACAAAACAAATAATAGAGACTCTCCGATCTCCAGAAAATAAAATAAAAAATAAAAAACATACAAATTGATAGGAACTTCTTATTACTTTCCTTACTGGACAATCGTTCTTCAAATTTGTTGCGTGCACTCTTTTTTGCTTTTGTCTTTCTTTGTTTGCTTGAATTTTGCTCGTCTTTCTTCAAATCTGCATCATTAAGAGTTTCTTTCATAAAATCAGAAAAATAAATTATCAATAATTTTTTATTTATATTTATTATATTTATATTAAAAATTATATATTCTGCATATTTTTTGTAATTAAATGTGATTTTTATTAAATATTAACCGTCAGAAATTGACTAAACTAATAAAAAGTGCTGTCAGAGAAAATTCCTATTATTTAATATCTTTGCAGTTAGAAGCACATGCATCCTCGCAAATCTTGTCATAAAAGCCGATTAAGATCCCCTTCTCAGTTGCTTGCTCAGTGCTCTCGGATCAGCAGTGAAAATCGTTAACAGAGCAATAATACCCATTGCGAAAAATTTTCAATATTTAATGTACAGAGACGCATTTAAAATGTAGTATGACAATCATTAATTGGAATGCATTGGAGATATCTATTTATTTTCGTACATAGTCGCATACTCAAATTTTTCCATGGAATACAGCATGTTGAATGCTAAAATGAGTACTTGCAGCTATGCATAGAAACGCGAACATATTTCCATTAAGTTCAGCATCTCATTTCTTTTTGAACGGTAATTTCATTAAAGAGCTAGTAAAGGTTTAGAATTTAATGCAACACTAAAATTAAAAAAACGGGTGTCACTCACATAATTAAATAGTACGAACATATTTCTATTTGAAAAACAAAGAGGACTTTCCCATAAAGTAGCACTAGAATAAGAGCCACGTAGAAACGACACAAGATAAGCCACATCCTAGTCCAACAATAGACCCATATCACACAAGTCAGTATTAGAGAGGTGAGGAAACCACCATTTATCTGACAAACACACCACAACTATAGATTGGTGGGAAGACCACCTTTTAGCTGAGACAAAATGCCGATAGATGGGAAGACCATCACCTTTATTATAACGCAAAAATAAAACATTAAAACATCTATAAAAATCCTAAAAGATCAACCTAACAATATCGAGCCCCTCAACACCAAAATTATGAGAAGACCGGTAAGCACGGCTATGAAAAAAGGCTCCCTCACCTCCCTCTTTCAACCTAGTTCTCATGATTTTAGCGGATCCCGCGGCGGACGCGTCCTAAATCTACAGTTAAAAAGTAGCATCCTCTTTCCCTTACATGGCACTAAACTGGAAACTTTCTACACCTCCAACAGCACGAACTCGACTACTATAGTGACCTTTGCTACTTTCTTAGCAGTAGCATACAACATGAGGAAGGCGAACAACAAAGCAAAACCAAACCTAGATCCCCCAAGACCCGCCCTACTCATGAAGGAGCACCACCCACCTACAAAACAAGGCAAAAAACAAAAAGAAAAGCAAAAAATCACACAGAGTTGGGAGGCTAGAGACCACCGGGAGGAGACTCAGCCAATTCCGGCCCCTACAAAGCACAGACTTTATGGCAGCCCCTTGAGGGGAGAAAAAGTTCATATTTAAAGGAGCAAACTTGAGGAACACCCTTAAAATTGATCTTCGGAGTTTTGTCTTTTTAATATGTATATTTGAGCTTCAGATTTATGTCTTTAATGAGCCACTCAAATATTAATAATTCATATTTTACCCAAATTACCCTTGTTAGTCAAACAAAAATAATCTACCACATTACCTCCGATAATCTTCTAGATGTTGCCAGAAGGCAATCTCTAGTCGCCATCACAGATGCCGGTCATGTTGGTGCCGAGCCGGTTGCTGGAGAGAAATCTGGTAGATTATGAAAAAATAATCAGTCATCTTCAATCTCCAGTGCCAAAAAAAAATCTTGTATATTATTTTTTATAATCAATAAGATTATTTTTTATTTTCAACTAAAAAAATGATTAATGATTACTGGTCGCCGGTGGTCGTTGCCGCAAAAGAATCTAATATATTTCTTTTGTAATCTATTAAAATATTTTTATTTAAAACTAAAAATATTTGAACGTTTATGATTTTCTAAAAAGAATGAGATAATATCCTAAAAATAATTTGTTAGATTATTTTTCATAATCTACCCTATTATTTTTTATTTCTTACTAAAAAATTATTAGAACGTCTTTTGTCTACGATGCTTGTTGCTGGAGAAGAATTTGACAGTTTTTTTTCTTGTAATCTACCAGATTATTTTTTATTTTCAACTAAAAAATGTTTGAATAGCTTTGAACCTTTGGTCACGATTTGGAAGTGATTTGCTATCTGCGGTGTGCATGTTGATGTTCGGCATAAGCTTTTACCATTTTTTATTAGCTTTTCGCTTTTTTTTGTTTTTTTTGGTTAATTTTAGTTTAGTTTTTATAGAACTTTACCATTATGCCTTGTGAAATTGGATCACGTGATAGGCTACTTGCGAGTTTCTGTCAAGTTCTTATGGACGGAAATTCGTTCATTGTCAAAATCCTTTTGCCAATTTTTTTTTTTTTAAAAGACTAAAGTATTACCTACTAAACAGTTGATGGACCACAATGCAAATCTCTCCTTTAAATTATAAGATAAATTCAATATCTATACTAGAACAGTAAATTTGTACTAGGTAGGCCTGTAGGTCGGCCTGGTAGGATCGATCTTGGGACTGAAATTGGGCCGAGCCGCAATGTATGGGCTGAGAAAGATTTGGGTCGCAACACTTCTTGAAGCCAACAAACCTATAACTCTCGGATTACCTCGGGTAGACTCGGGATGACTGGGTTGGTCGAATTGGGCCTTGACGTTGGGGTTCTTACAATTAAGCTCATTATCATTGGCCAGAGAAAACGTTGGGATTGGGCTTGTGTCGTGTGTGTCCAAAAACAACTGTGTTGTGTTGTGTGTGTTTAAAAATAGCTGTGGTTAAAAAAAACAGAAATAGTAGAAAATATGCCAATATGAAAAGCTTAAGAAAGTATATAGGCCAATTTTTAGTTATAGAAATTAATAAGCCATAACTTGTCAAGTTATGGTTCATAACTAGATAAGTTATGGATAAACTTGTCAAGTTATGGTTCATAATCAGATAAGTAATAGACAAACTTGTCAAGTTATAGTTCATAACCAGATAAGTTATGGACAAACTTGTCAAGTTATGGTTCATAACCAGATAAATTATGAACAATAACTTGTCAAGTTATGGTTCATAACCAGACAAGTTATGGACGAAAACAGTAATTTGGCATATTTATTAACTTATGTAAATTATTAACCTATTAATTTTAATTCATCTCAAGTCTTGACTTATTTCTCTCTTTCTTCCAAAAAAAATGTTAGAATTGGGAAAAAAAAACATTAGAATTAGGACTGATTTCTTTCCCTGTGCTAATAAATTGATTGATCTAGAGTCTAACACTGTTAGTTTGGTATCGGCTCCAATTCCCGAATTGGATTGGACCGACACTCTAAACCAGTGCTGAAACTTTGGACGGGCCGTCCGTGACCACCGAAAAGTCTGAATTTTTACCCGATGACCGAACCCGATTTGCCCAAATTTTCAGGCTACCCGACCCGACCCAAAAATTACCATGAACGGGCTTCGGGCAGAGGATGCCTGCCCGTGCCCGGTCGGGCTGCCCGATGCCCGACCGGCTGTCCGATTTTTTTTTTATATTATATTTTTATGTTGTTGAAATAAGTATTTGTATAATTACAATTTGAAATATGAAATGAACACTGAACACACGAATGAACTATATAAAAAAAATTACTTCATTGATTTTTAAATTTGTAATTCATGATTGCCTCATTAAAAACCTTACCAAGAAAAATCCAATTGGGATAAAAACTTGGTAAGGAAAAAAGAGTGCAATCATTGTGGGACGAATTACAAATTTGATGAACTTACAAAGTCTATACAAGATTACAATAAACACTATACAAATTAAAAATTACAAAGTAAATAAATATTTACAAAGAAATTATCAAGATCAAGCAGAATGATCATCTTGAAAATTAAAAGTTAATCTATTAAATTCGTCATCCATTCTTGGTTTGCCGGTGAGATTGTATCGTGTAAGCGTTGGTCGGAACGGTCCCAATCCTTGATGCACACCAAAGCTTCAACAATATCCTGTTGTAATGTGTTTTTCCGTTCTTCAAGTATTCGGCCGGTTGTATTGAATGCTTGTTCGGCTGCAACAGTGGAGACCGGGATTGAAAAAATATCCATTGCCAGTCGTGTTAGGATCGGCCAAGTTAATGCTCGTGCCCTCCACCACTCAACCAAATCAAACACCTCACTACTGTCTACAACTAAGCCCTCACTCAGGTA